CCCCTCCGTCCCCGGATCCGCCAATGATTGCATTCCAAACTATTTCCAGTGCACTCAAGAATTCCAGGAAAAAAGACCATCGAAAGCATTCTCAGCAGGTAACTACTGTTGTTGATAAGATGCCATTACTTAGGTCACTTTTGAGTACTTTTGCCTCTCACCGACAGCAAAATACGGATTGGACCGGTTTTTAAAATAAGCCCGGAGTCCGCTCTGGTTCAATTACTTACACAATTCCTTTGCAAAAAAATTATTATCAGCCACTATACTGCTTATTTCCAGCCATTTGTATAAGTTGGTGGTTCCGGAATCTTTGAGTTGGCTATATGTTCCAAACCATTCATTGCAACAAGCTTGCCATAGAGCTCCTTTGCCTGTTCTTCATGAACAATATCAAAGCATTGTGGCTGAAAATAAAATTAGTAAATTCAATATTTTACCTTTTTTAAAATCTGAAACCGTGAGTACGCCAGCAGACGTAGGAGCAAAATATTGTGGTAATGGTAAGAAATGTATACAACTTAATGAACCGAAACATTGCTTATCATTATATTAATTTTATCAAAATAATTCCACTAATTTCGTAATTTTTATTTTCCACCTTTCTCATCTACCCTTCTTATTTTAGCCGTCGTTAAGAATCGATGCCGATCGGCTGTTAGTATTTCAGCCAGTACGTTTTAATCCTCGAACATTACACCTTTCTTCGTTCAAACGAAATTCCAGAATCAACCTGATTGCTACAATCTGCTCTTTTGTGCTGATATCTATGAATGTTGATTCTTTTCCAGAGGAGCCGGAAAGGCTGCCAACTTAAACAGTGGAGCAAAAACAGAATAATAGCTATTCAGAAAATCCAACAACTAGCTCCCTACCAGATTTCCGCAGATTTACCAACATCAAAACCATCAAAGCATAAAACCTGAAGTTTACAGAAGAAAAAAACATACGGTCACTTCGGAGAGTGGCATTCTCAATCGCTCACTCACTTCCTCTGCTGTCATAATATACGCCAGGTACCTCGATATATCGCACAAAACCTCAGCTCCTACAAAAAATCAATAGAATCATTGAAAATTATGCAGTTTTTGCTATTGAAGTTAATTTTCAGACACTTCCATAATAAAATACGAGGCGGCTCAAATCTCAAACTTTTCAATTTGTTTCGAAATATTTTACAGATACGAATTTTCCAGCTGCTGTAGCGGAAAACCCGCGAAACGTCGGCCAAGAAACCAACACAAAGAAAAATATAAGAAAGGTGTATCTTGCCTTGAAAGGCACAAACATAGTAGATGGGCAGACAAGCTGAACATGGAACACAATGATCGGTGGTGTAGGGGTAATGCGTTGCATCGGGACGTGAAT